CACCACCACCACCACCCAAAATAATAATAATAATAATAATAATATCAATGATAATTGAAAAAAAAGAACTTTAAATGCCATCATCTGAATAAGCACAAACAGTCCACACACACAAACACACACACACATCATTAGAAAAGTGGAGAGAGGGAGGGATGGGGAGGGATGGGAGTGGGGGGGGGGGGGTTGGGTGTTGGGGGTGAGGGGGGAAGGGGGGAGGGGGGAATCTTACCGGGGAGAAAGATTCAACGTTTCAACACCATGGACAGCTCAATCCTGAGAGACGTGGGCGGCAGCGATGGATGTTGGTGGTGAAGCTCAGCACAACAAAAGCTCTTGTGAACCACAGCTGAGCCAAAACCAGCTACTTACTTGCACCATTTCCTATGAGACCACTGCCTCTGGGTGCATATGCATACCACACCCCCTCCCCCAGGCTGTGGTATTTCCTCCTCTCTCCCTCCCCCAACCCAAACCCCCCCCCCAACAACACCAACACCACCAAAAAAAAAAATGACTATACAGTACAGGGCATTGGCAATTAGGGTAGAACCTAACCTGACGCGTGTCAGATCCCTGAACTGGCTCGGCAGTTGCAGCCAAGTCACATCATATGCTAAGTACCTTTGTTCATTGATTCCCACGTTGCATCGAGTCAAAATAGCCATTGCAATTACCCTTCAATAATTCGATTAAACCGTTACCAGTAGATTTTCTGTTCGCATTTCATTTCATTGCATCGCATTTCATTTCCAATGAACCCCAACCGGATCATAAACGTCGGGGTATCTCACCCCTTCTCTCTCCTTCGACAGGATTCGGTGCAAATGCTTGGAGCTGCCCTTTTATGGATCCTTTGATTTTTTTTTGTGTGTGTGTGTGTGGACTGAGATCAAAAGCGGTTCGGGTGAGATGGTGATCCCATATTGCGGGGCTCTCTATCTCTATCTCTTTCTCTCTCTCTCTCTCTCTCTCTCTATCGTTTTTTTTTGCAAAGAGGTTACAGTAAGCAACCGACGTTGCTATCTCGTCTGCACACACACACACACACACACAGACACAGACACACACACACCACACATATAGCAATTAAAAATAAACCACGATAATTGCGCGTAAAAACGCAGGCAATGCAAAACACAGCGATGGAAGAGAAGAGAGAAAGAGAGAGAGAGAGAGAGACAGACACACACACACACATACATACAGCGAAGTCTGGAGACTCTCTGCATCTCTGCCCACCAACTGGTTTAAACAAAATTGACAGACAGTCAGACAGACAGACAGACAGACAGACAGACGATAAAATTCCGTCTAACGCCGACACTGCCCATCCGGCTTTCTGAAACAGCAGCTTACCTTTTTTTTTGGGGGTCGTTCTTTCCACGGCGATGCATATATCTGTACATATATCTCTCTCTCTATATGTAACATATAAAGAAAAGCAATCTCCTGCGGGGCTGTGCATTGCGGTGCAGAGCTGCTCCTGCCCCTGTCTCTCTGCCCGTGTCTCTCTCTCTCCCTCTCTCTCTCTCTCTCCCTCTCTCTCCCCCCTCTCTCTCTCCCTGTCTGTCGGGGCTGCCCTGTGTGCGGAGGCGGCTGCAGTCCCAGTGGCTGAGTCTTGGCTTCGAGCCTCTTCCCCGCCACTGTCCCGCTTTTGCGCGACTTTCCGCTCAGGGCTACAAGCCACCAGATATTTTTTTTTTAAAAAATGATCAAAGTGATCCAATTACAGCCAGTTGTCGCCTGCCACTATGAATAAACGTAACTCTGCACACACACACACATATATATACACACACACACACATATATACACCAAACACACACACATACACCAAACACACACACACACACCAATATACGAGTTACCAGATCTGGGAAGAATTCATTTGCTAAGAGAGAAATGATTGGGTCTAAAGACCATTTAACATAATTCGTGGATGCCCAAACATACTAATGGTGGATTAATTGAGGAAGATCTGACGTGCCTCGCTTCACAGTCACTTATTCATGAGTTCCCAATAGGAGACGCGCAGGTGCCTTTGGGGACGTTGTTCATATATACAGTGCAATCAAATAAAGCTCTTGAAATGGCTCCACGATCAGGAATATATCTGAACCACTAACATATGCCGACTGAAGTCCTAAATTGACTGCAAAGAATGCGATTTTCTTCCCCCCTTTCTCTCTCGTGGTGATGTGGACCCATCACCTCTGCTTCAAAAAGTAAATGTCGCTTCCAGGCTTCCCCACACACTGTGCCAATTTGTCAATGAGATGAGATTTCCATATCAGGCACAAAACAAGAGGTCCGTCAAAAAGAAACCGGAATTTTTTTTTTTTTTTGGGGGGGGGAGGAGGAGGAGGATGAGTTGGGCGTTGGGGGAGTCTGATATTTGTTTCATTACAAGAGCAGGAATGATGCAGCAGCTTCAGTGAAATAAAAGAATCTGGTTTCTTGAACCTAGACATGCCTGCTATTGTTTTCATTTGCAAAGAGTGATTGATTTGCACTACACTATTTGGTATGTCCTCCCACATTCGTGCATTTTAGTTCAGGGTTAATATGCTATGGGTTTCAAAGCTTCACACACTCGCTTTTAAATCCATTGCGTGTTCTGTTCTATTATTGCAATGTCAATCTTATTACTATTATATCACTGTCTACGTTCAGACATTGACTATTAGGTATATGGTAAATATTTCACTTAAGGGCGAAAGTAACTGAGGGTATATTTCCTTGTTTTAAAAAAAAAGACGCAAAATGCATTATTTGTCGAGGCTCAGAGGTTAAACTTATGCGAATTTAGGAGCAAAATCGTAAGTGCTCTCAGAACAAATTGCAATTTTTTGTTTTAATTCTTTACTGAATAATCCCCTAACGGTAGTGGTGGCAGTCTGGTAAAACAGTCAGGCTGTCAGCAGTGAGGCTTCAGCCTCTATTCTTATTTGCTTATTTGTTTCACAACATCTAAAAACCAACCCCACACTCTGGTCCCACTCGAGTCACGCTCGGTGTTAAAAGTCGTGAAATTGGCAACAGAGACACTTTGAAAAGGCAGCAGCAAAATTAAAATGAGGAATGACAGTACTTAAAGGTGGGCGATTTTCCATTTTGTACCTGGTGACAGTAAATGGTCCCTTATGGTGGAGGCAATGAGTGACTTTCCTCTCTCTCTCTCTCTCTCTCTCTCCACATTTCCCCTGATATTGCCATTTCAGCCTCAGCCCAGCACTCTGTCCCAGCCCCTGAGCCCCTGACACATCTGTGTATGTTATATTCAGCCCCAGATTCTCATGGCCTTTTGGAGGCGGCGTGTGATGTGAAATCATTTCAGATCTCAGCTAAAATTCTCAAGTGTTATTATTGCAGCTTAGACTGTACTTTATCAGACGTTTAATTGAAGTTTGGATGGTCAAAGCTGATGGACAATATACAACAACACATTTGCTTTTTAACGCCAAATAAAACTTCATTATACATATTATATATATATACTATATATATATATATGGGCCAATATGGAATAGAAAGCACTGCCTTCCTTTTACCAATCGCGTCAAGCTATTGCCCTCTGGAGGCGACGTTTATACTGTTGTATTGTGTATGAATTTTAGGCTCAGAACTCAGAACCGAAGACTACTGTATATTCACCAAATGTATACAATGTCATTCTTTGCAATTTTCCAGTGGGTTAACTTTCACATGGGTGGAGGATTACTTCTAAGGTGAATTCAATATGGTGATGGACCTTGGAAAACAGGAGTTCCCTTTGGTGCATGTTTTGTAAACGAGGTCATTTAGTTGGTTGGGTTGAAACGGCGTTGATAAATAAAACTAATCACTGAGTAATAAGAAGATGTTTAGACATATATTGCCTTAGTGTGAACTAAACACAAACTTATAACACCTTTTCCTATCCAGAGAATATAAGCGCATTGTTTGGTTCATCATTAAAATAACATGTTGAAATCGATGAGGGCCCAATCTATTTAAATACATTGGTTCCTTTATATGAAACCCAAATTATATTGATGATCTTGGTATCAGCGTCCAGTGTATCCAAAGGGCCTTTCCTAATACAATTACGTGAATTTTAAAAGGTCATCGTTAGTGAAACTGTCCTGATGTATATTGTGCAAAAGCTGATGTAACCGTTTCCCCCAAATGCCTCAATTCCCAATCAAGTTGGCGTCATCGTTCCCTTGGGAATCGCTCATTATATTCGGATCATCGATCCAAGACATTGCAACATTTTGTTGTGATCGTTAACAAACTCAAGATGGGAAAAAAGATGTCCAGGTTCATTCAAATGACCAAGAACATAGCAACAATCTGGTTACATGTTGGAAGGTGGGGGTGGGGTGGGAGGGGGGGTGGGGGTGAATAACATCACCACAATATTATAATATCCAATCTTGTTTAGGAAACCATCCTAACACTTTTTTTAAAATTGAAGTCCATCTTCACGTGTGAATATAAATGTGGGACAACAAGGATTTGGGGGGCGGGGGGGGGGGGGGGGGGGGTGGCTTTTGGTTTTTAATATAGTAATGTTAAAGAACGAATCTATATGTTATGTGTATTTGGTGCCCTGAAGTTTTATTTCGAATAGATAGAACAAGAGATCAAAACAATCAATAAGACTTGGGGGGTATTTATTGCAGTGCTTTTAAAAGTGCACAGTTTCCTTTGAAGCACGTACATAGAAATGAACAAACACAAACACACGCACACACACATATATATATATATATATATTTGCACATTTAAACCAACAGACTACACGACTGATAACGAAGTGGAATAGCACGAAGGCAGTTACGCAGTTTCCAGACCAAAGGCGTTTCAACACCCATTTGCAGTTGGGTAAGCAGAGCATTTGGTACAATACACGATCGGTTGAGGGATCGATACCAGTTGAAAATCGGATGACATATGGTGAATTCAGTGGTGGCCTCTGTGGATGGATTGGTGAGGGTGAGTGTGTGTTGGGGTTGGGTGCGTTGGATGGTCGATTGGGGATGTCCTTCTTTACGCAGCCCATGTGCGCCCCCTACTGCCCAGACAGGTGGCACAACACATCTGGAACTTCACCTCGCACAGTCCATCTGCCACTCTCCTTTCCTCCTCATCTTCAACGACTGGAGAATCAAATGGAATGGTTGCCCATTAATTCCTTAATTCTATTCTAATTGCATTGAGAGACGAGTATCTGTTTGATTTCATTGAAAGAGCAGGTTTTAAAAAAAAAGATTAAAAAAAAAATTTCCAGTCATCTGTGAGTTTAAACATGATGTTTGTGGATCCCTGGCCATCGTTATTTAGACATTAAAGTCACAAAGAAGGGTGGAATCGGGGAAGAACAGTAACTCAGCAAACAGTGTTTGAAATCGACACTGCTGTGAATGTTACCTGACTGCTGAGCTGCAATTCTGGTTGGGGAACACGAATTGGTACATCATTACTCAATAACACCAAAGCATATTTCCATAAGAAACTTGCAAATCCTTGATTTACTCGTGTTGGTCCTTGCAATACTTAAAAAAAACACACACACACACACACAGTGCTTAACAAGAAGAAACCTCTGCAGAATTATTGTGTTCATGGTCGAGGAATATTTCACTCAATATACTCAATATATATATATATATAAATCATAACAGTAATGACAAACGAATGCATAAAACCAAAGCAGCTTCAAGCAGTCATTCACAAACTCGAAGCATTTGCCTGATTAAAACGGTTCAGAAATTGCGACTGAGCAATAACTTACATTTGATGCACTCTTGGCCCAAAGGTAAACACTTTGCCAGCAAACACTCTGCAAAGACACACAGAGCAATTAAAACGTCGGCTGCGCACATCCCTTGTGCTTTATTCGTAACAGAGAGCACATAGAATAAGTAAAGCATTTATTTCTATTTCCAGTTATCATCAAACTTGATTAAGATCAGCAAAATGCTTAGCTTTTGGGGTGGGGTGGGGGGGAACTTACCCTGTGAATCAGATTGAAGCCCCCTTTCACTTTCCACGCTGTACTCTTTCTTTGAGAAGAACGCTGTAATAACACACACAACACACAACACACACATACACACACACACATAAATCATGAAACTGGTTTCATTTATTTGCATCCACGATTTTCTTTTGGGAAAAAGCAAAATTAAGCAGGGATACGACGAAAAATTGTGTGTGTGTGTGTGTCTATTGACGTGTTCGTGCCTTCTATTAATTAGTTTCCAACGACAGGAAAATGCAAAAGAAATTACATATTTAAGTCACATGGCAAGAGTGGGAAATTATGCCTGAAATACTATGTCTTCTTGTCGTTGCCTCCCTATGCAAATAGGCTAATTCTGCATAATATCTGTTCCCAAATCTACGTTGTAACGTCTTAGGTCTCTGTTGTGATTACTATAAGCAAACCATACATTTTTTTTCCCTTTAAAAAGTGTGCATTTCTATTCTATTTTTACGTGCAGTTGCTGTGATCCGAGACTGAAAGGTTTCTCCTGCTGCTCTGATTGACAGGTCAGACTAAAGCAGCACTTACTCTCTATGAAGCCTGATATGAAAAAAAAAGAAGGGGGCTTCCTGCTGTCTTCACAACTGGACTGAAAGGTGTCAATCATTACTACCAATCACCTTGCACAACCAACCTCTTTTTTTTTTGGGGGGGGGCTACACTTCGAGCAGTCCTGCAACACTTTGGTGAGGGTGGGGGTGGGGGTGGGGGGGATTAAGTTGTGCCAGAAATAATGCCTTCGTTTTTTTTTCTTAATCCCAGATACAGATTAGACAAGTAACACCATGCAGATAGCGAAAAGTAATATGCAGCAGTGCATCAGCTGGAGGATTCTGATTCAGGTTGTCATGTCCCCATCACTGAGCCACATAGAGTGGGGGATAAACATCTCAGACAACCTGGAGGGTTGCCAGAGCTCTGGTAAAATAGGTGGAATTACCTCCCAATAATATTATTGCAATTTTACTGTTTCACGTTGCATTTTTTTTTGACACCAAGCAATGAATTACCAACACGAACTGCAACATTGATGGCTGGTGGATGTAATCCATCGCAGAGGCTATAATATTGACAAATGGGGTTATTGAATTAGTAGGAGCCATTGCCTTGGAGCTTTCTTCCCTGGGGACTCATATTCCTCAGAGAAATAAGAGCAGTGTAAGCCACCATCAAGTAAATGAAGAGGGAAATTGTCTCCCTATTAACCCTCTTTTCAAAAGTTGGTGCTCTAAAACAGAACATACTCTCATATAGAATTTTTTTTTATTATTTTTTGTTGTTGTTTACACTGACCTTGCATGTACTAATTATAATACACTGTACTTGCATCTGCACAGGGAATATTCAGTGCATACCACTAAACCTTTGCTTTACGTTTCACTAACACTCTCTACAGACGGATTTCCCAATCCATAATTCCAATGTGTGCACAATAATCAGGTTATTATTTTGACATATTTCCAATTACCAAAGCTGTGTTTCGAAGCACAGTGGCTGTGGTTGATTTCAATAGTAATGATCTGCCAAACGATTTAATACCTATTCTGATCGTTTCAAAATATATCGATTGCGAGTTTCCCTATAAAAGCAAACTAAGAATTCTTGTTTACGGAGGTTATTTGTGTTTTTCTGACTGCTTGCAGTATGCAGGATACAAATTCCGAAGTCACAAATGGAAAATGCACTTGAGCTCACTAATAATAACATATTATTTGCAATTTGAACATATTGTGGGACCAATATATATATATATTTGCAATGAACTTGTAGGGATCATGAAATGGACATTATCCACATCATCTTTTATTGCAATGAACAGCAATTCGAATACTCTAAACCGAAGCATAAAATACCTTTAATTTTTGAATGCGCTCGTGGGACACCCAGGACGATACGACTAATGTATATTGTATAGTATTTAAGCGCTCTGAGGCGCTACCCTGCGTGGAGGGCGCTATATAAGTGCAAGCTGTTGTTGTTATAGTAGGTCATGCTTAGAAAGTCTGCCAACATACTTATTTTAACAATCCTAAATCTAAATATGGCTTTTGATATAAAATGTAAATAACAAATTTGCTTCTTCAGAAAGTCATAGAAAGCTTTTATATATATAATATATATGTATATAATATATATATATAAATAGCCCATTCCCATTGCGTTGGAAGGGGGGGGGGGTTGGGGGGTGGGGAGGAAAAATAATAATAAAATAACCAGAAGAGAAACATTGCTATGGCAATGGAAAGCCATCACCGGCCTTGCTCTCGCCTCCATTCAATGAAATCGATTCATTTGAGAATTTACAACAGGCACTAAATAGCCAGGGTCGAGGACAGCACCAGTCTTTGAACTATTTGTAGCTCAATCCTCCACTGGATAAATGTCAGGTCACCCTTGTCAGCTGGGGTTCAACCAAACCAAGTAAGTGCCTGGTGAAAATAACAAAGGAAGGAACCCTTTCGGCCCCACCACAACCCCAGACACCACCCAACCCCCACCCACCCCCAAACACACACACACACCAATCTAAACTTCTTAGCTTGAAATTATCCCAGATCAATCAAACCTAACAGTTTGTCAACCTCTAATAACGAAATCCAGGAAACGGCCTCTCTGTATTAATGCTGCCCAGGTAGTTGAATGATCCTATCAGTATAAGACATTGGGGTTCTTTAGTTAGTTCCTTGCTCCATCCAGCACATGATTTGCTCTAAATCATTCACTCCACTGTATTGATAGAGTAATTGCACTTGACAGTATTTCATTAGATATTTGGAATCTATTCATATTTTGGCTGGTAGTTTATTTTTAAGAGCGAAATACAGAGAAATATATATATATACATATATGTATGGTTTCTTTCAGTTTAGAACCGAACGTTTGATTAGGAAAAAAATTGACAAGTTCCGAGCTCTGTTTGTTTCTCCGCGTTGCAAATACTGTCAAAATAATTCCTTAGCTCTATTAACTGGCTCTTTCCTCGACCAGACCTTGTCACAGAATCCGCGATCATTTATTTCCATCACAGTCACAGAACACATTCAAAAAGGCAGCAGACACATTTGACAAAAAAAAAGAATTCGACTTGATTGGAATTGTTTCTTGAATGGATCGATGCTTCTTGAAACCCAGAATCTGTCCAACCGTGTTATGTTAAGGGCAGCTCGCATTCTCAACTTAAATTAATAACTCGTCAGTATCAAATAAAATGCGTGGATTGTGTTAAAACTTCAAGACTTTAAACAACAATCTGAAGAAAACACAGAGAACCACTTCAACAGCCTGAATTATATAATCCAGACCAAACACGGTGTCACAGTCTAACGTGTTACATCTCCAATGCTAGAACCAGAATAATTGAGTCGATGTTTCATTAATTACAATGGTTTTCTTGGGGTGGTGAACAAAAAGCAAGCGGTTTGTGTTATTAAAAGTTTCAGCGTCAGAGGTTTGGTCATTTCTTGTTCAAGTCATGAAACGTCAGACTAGGTGAAGTGAAAGAGAAAAAAATATATATTTTCTAAGTGGCTTTACAAGGTTAGCCCATCTCAGCCTTGGTTTATTTCCCATTTCCCTTCCCTTTCTGCACTAAAGTAAATTTAAACGTTAGTCTGCACACATTTCTACATTTATTAACTTGCTGTTTTTAAAAAAAAACATATAACTGCATTTGATGTTACCTGTACGTAATTTGAATTGGTTGGAAAGAGTCGCAGTTGAACTGGATTGGTGGAATAAACGGCTCACAAATTCAGATTTCAGAATGCATCTTTTTCAGTTTATTTTACAAGACCCCGTTAGGCTGTCACTTTGCCACTTACCTCTCTTACTTCTCAACCGGAATTCTCCTTTCATTCCCTCCATTTGTTCTGCAACACAAGAGGCAAAAGAGGGTTTTATATCACATCCAACTGGTCAGACTTCGAGAGTTGGTGAAAGGGAGAGGATGGGTGGGTGGGTGGGTGGGTTGGGAGATAAAGGGAAATCACAGGAGAGAAGAAAGGATAGATAATTTTAAAAAAAGGAAGTTAGGACAAGTATACTTTACCATTCATGGTGGTGACGATTAATACTGAAAATAGTACAGTTGTGAAGGCGATTTTCATTTTGGTGGCAAATACTGCCTGTCTCATACTGACATTCCCAGCTTCTTCTTGAGTTGCATGTATCAGCAATCTATCATTTAAACCCTAAAGGTGTGACTGAGAGCCTATTTGGCGATACATTTATAGATCACTACGCATGTATTACATGATCAGTACCTGAAAGCAAAATTATTGATTATAATTTTGCTCACTCAACTGAAGATGCTGGTCAATGCCTTCCTTGCAGCTTTCGGTTGGCTTGACAACTAGTAACTAGATGGAATCCCTTAACAGAAATAAAGTCAAAGAAAATCATAGTTGACCTTATAAAAGATATTCTCTTCTCTTCTGATAGATACCTAAGCAAATAGTTGAAGTTTCAAACTTTATGCAACTTTTCATTCATAATCTAAATGGTGCTAAAGGATGGCATTACAGTAGATACAGTAAGTTAGTGTATCAAAATAATAACACTATGGTGCAATTGGCTTTTGTACACTAATCTATTCTCTGTCATCTGTTATAAGCTTAAGACACCAATTTTCTTGGGCTGCATTAGTGTGTAAGCTGTTTCAGAAAAGTGTCATATATAAAAACTGATTTTTATTATTGTTTGTAGACTGTGAACTGGAATGACCACAATTCCTGATTGCTCCATAGAAGATTGATCAGAATCTGTGTTGTTTCTGGTCTTCAGCAAACATCAGCAGTAACTTTCGAGAAGCGAGCTGACACAGGCGAGTCATGTAAATAGGCAGACTTGTACAGTATAACATTCTTAAACTTGTGGATTTGACTTACTGCCTGGCATGTTAAATTGATTTTTAATATGGTGCAGAGAGGAAATGTACTTTATCATTTGAACATCCACACAAAGTACCTAAGGATTGTAAGGTCCATGTATGGAAAAATATATGAACCTG